CACAAAGTCCTCCCTCGCCCAACAAAGTCCTCCCTCACCCCACAAAGTCCTCCCTCACCCAACAAAGTCCTCCCTCACCCAACAAAGTCCTCCCTCACCCGACAAAGTCCTCCCTCGCCCCACAAAGTCCTCCCTCACCCAACAAAGTCCTCCCTCACCCAACAAAGTCCTCCCTCACCCCACAAAGTCCTCCCTCACCCAACAAAGTCCTCCCTCACCCCACAAAGTCCTCCCTCACCCAACAAAGTCCTCCCTCACCCCACAAAGTCCTCCCTCACCCCACAAAGTCCTCCCTCGCCCCACAAAGTCCTCCCTCACCTCATAATTCCCAATACCCTCACAACCCAGTCAGAACGATCTCATCTACAATGGTCGCTACCAGCTGGCGTTTTCTTTAATCTCTTTATGGTATACTGCGCCGCTTCTCTCTACACACTCCCTGATAATGCTGTCTCCTACACCACCTTGTCCTATGCTGACCTGTACCAGGTTACCTTAGGCTGACCCATCGCCGCGGAGATCATTTCACTTGTCTCCGCACGTTGTGGGAGCGCCACACTAGCGGGATGAGCCTCGGCTCTTGGGTCCCGCCTCTCAACACTTGAGCGACTGGTGCACAGATTCGAGAGCCAAGCGGGTCTGTCGTTTCTGTATTTAAAGACGTGTATGGGGTCCGCCTCCTCTACTGCACTTTTTAGCGCATTCCCAATGTTCGCTACTCTGATACTTGAAGTAATTATTTCTTATGTCTGCGTCTTATTTGGGTACTTAGTTTCCGTCCGTGTCCTTGTGTGTTCGTGCACCGTCCATGTCCTTGTGTTCGTGTACCGTCCGTGTCCTTGTGTTCGTGTACCGTCCGTGTTCTTGTGTTCGTGTACCGTCCATGTCCTTGTGTTCGTGTACCGTCCGTGTCCTTGTGTTCGTGTACCGTCCGTGTTCTTGTGTTCGTGTACCGTCCGTGTCCTTGTGTTCGTGCACCGTCCATGTCCTTGTGTTCGTGTACCGTCCGTGTTCTTGTGTTCGTGTACCGTCCGTGTCCTTGTGTTCGTGTACCGTCCGTGTCCTTGTGTTCGTGTACCGTCCGTGTCCTTGTGTGTTCGTGTACCGTCCGTGTCCTTGTGTTCGTGTACCGTCCGTGTCCTTGTGTTCGTGTACCGTCCATGTCCTTGTGTGTTCGTGTACCGTCCGTGATCAATTGTCTGTCCTTATCTTCCCTTCTTTCCCTGCGTATTTTGTATGTGGTAATTATGTCTCCCCGATTGCTTCTCTCTTACAGGGACGTGAGGTTTAATGCCTGTAGTTTTTCCTCGTAGCTCGTGACTTTCGGCTCTAGGTCTTGTCGGATCGCATACCTCTGAACCTTCACCAGTTTCATAATGTTTTTAACAAGATAAGGACGCCACGCTGGTGCCACATGTCGCAGAACCCTTCTGACATAATTATATACACTATTCTCAAAGATTCTTGGCTCGGATTTCTAAAGACAGTTTAGGAATCTATGAACCAACCGTATGCCATATGTTGTTATAGATTCAGCTACTCGGAACAAGTTCCAAGTAGCACGGGCTATGGTGAGCCCGTAGTGGACTTACCTGGCACAGGGGAGGGGCAAGTAGCACGGGCTATGGTGAGCCCGTAGTGGACTTACCTGGCACAGGGGCGGGGCAAGTAGCACGGGCTATGGTGAGCCCGTAGTGGACTTACCTGGCACAGGGGCGGGGCAAGTAGCACGGGCTATGGTGAGCCCGTAGTGGACTTACCTGGCACAGGGGAGGGGCAAGTAGCACGGGCTATGGTGAGCCCGTAGTGGACTTACCTGGCACAGGGGCGGGGCAAGTAGCACGGGCTATGGTGAGCCCGTAGTGGACTTACCTGGCACAGGGGCGGGGCAAGTAGCACGGGCTATGGTGAGCCCGTAGTGGACTTACCTGGCACAGGGGCGGGGCAAGTAGCACGGGCTATGGTGAGCCCGTAGTGGACTTACCTGGCACAGGGGCGGGGCAAGTAGCACGGGCTATGGTGAGCCCGTAGTGGACTTATCTGGCACAGGAGCGGTACTGTGTCGGTCCATATGCCACTGATGAAATCCTTTTTATAGCGTGGGCTTGTGGTGATGTAGGGATATCATCAACCCCCCCCCACCCCCCTCCCAAGTCTTTCTATCTCTGTCCCATTCCAGCAGGATTTCCTCTCTCCCATGTGGTGGTGCCAGAGTGGTGTGTGGACCAAGTGTGGCATGGCACCTCCCCCTTCCGCCCCGCGGCACTGTCGGGTGACGAGGTGTCGCCATTTCCGTTTTGGGAACATTCTGGGACGCCCCGGGGCACGAGGCCAAGTCTCAAGGTTACTCCGACGGCTCCCTCTGGCCAGTGGGTGGTGGTCTTCACGCCCTCCTCACCCGCCTTCACATCACAATGGCGTGATATATCAATGATAAAAATCCTTTTTGGAGAAGAAATCTTACGGGCTCGCCATAGCCCGTGCTACTGGAACTTATCGTTCTGAGTAGCAAATCTTAAACAACAACAACAACAACTTTTGGAGAAATGAAGTGACTTGAACCAGCGTTCTGGTGATTTCCAGAACGTCGGTTCAAGTATACATATATATAATTATATATATTCATATATTATATATTTTCTGGTGATGCGTGCCGGGCTCCCGTCACAGCTGGAGCCAATGTTTACACTCTGTCAGCTGATACAAACAGTGTGACGTCAGCAGGTCGTATAGTGTTAAGGTGTTGACAGGACTCAGGTAGAAGCACCAGACACACCTGGGACACCTCTTACTCAGGTGTGAGTAACGTGTCGTACCCATGAGTCCCTGGGTTTCATTGCTCGTCTCAGTGTGCTGAGCCTGTCATGTATTCAACACTGGTGCCTTCCCAGCACCAGGGCCCAGCTCCCAGCACCAGGGCCCAGCTCCCAGCACCAGGGCCCAGCTCCCAGCACCAGGGCCCAGCTCCCAGCACCAGGGGCCAGCTCCCAGCACCAGGGCCCAGCTCCCAGCACCAGGGGCCAGCTCCCAGCACCAGGGCCCAGCTCCCAGCACCAGGGCCCAGCTCCCAGCACCAGGGCCCAGCTCCCAGCACCAGGGGCCAGCTCCCAGCACCAGGGGCCAGCTCCCAGCACCAGGGCCCAGCTCCCAGCACCAGGGCCCAGCTCCCAGCACCAGGGCCCAGCTCCCAGCACCAGGGCCCAGCTCCCAGCACCAGGGGCCCCTGACCGGTCATTGGTTGCCTCAACGCCCAGAAGATTAAACGACCCGGCAATACAAAACAATACGAGAAAGGTAAACAAACCTCTAGCGAAAAAATGCACACCCACTAAAGAGTTTATTATGTTAACGTAGAGTATGAACCGCGGAGGAGGAGCAGCGACTTGCGCACTCACAAGTGCTTTTTCCTCCACTGATTCAAGACCCCAGAGAGACACACCGACCCCCCTAGACACGGAAGCGGAAATACAAGCCATACAGCCTGGAGGACAGACACACACCACCGACCCCCTAGACACGGAAGCGGAAATACAGGCCATACAGCCTGGAGGACAGACACACACCACCGACCCCCCTAGACACGGAAGCGGAAATACAGGCCATACAGCCTGGAGGACAGACACACACCACCGACCCCCCTAGACACGGAAGCGGAAATACAGGCCATACAGCCTGGAGGACAGACACACACCACCGATCCCCCTAGACACGGAAGCGGAAATACAGGCCATACAGCCTGGAGGACAGACACACACCACCGACCCCCCTAGACACGGAAGCGGAAATACAGACCATACAGCCTGGAGGACAGACACACACCACCGACCCCCTAGACACGGAAGCAGAAATACAGGCCATACAGCCTGGAGGACAGACACACACCACCGACCCCCTAGACACGGAAGCGGAAATACAAGCCATACAGCCTGGAGGACAGACACACACCACCGACCCCCCTAGACACGGAAGCGGAAATACAGGCCATACAGCCTGGAGGACAGACACACACCACAATACAGCCTGGAGGACAGACACACACCACAATACAGCCTGGAGGACAGACACACACCACAATACAAGATCATGCTTAATATAAATAATACATATTCAACACGAGGACGTTGAGAATAATAAAGATCATGACTGCTCCCTCGGTACATAAACGCTCTCAGTCTCCCCCCAGCCTGTCATCTTACAAGGAACGTCGTGATTGACAGTGACAGCAGTGACTGTGATTGACAGTGACAGCAGTGACTGTGACTGTCAGCACTGTGTGAATGTGAGAGGTATTGATTACCTAAAGGACCGATGATTGATTGATTGATGAAGATTAAGCCACCCAAAAGGTGGCACGGGCATGAATAGCCCGTAAGTGGTGGCCCTTTTGAGCCATTACCAGTATCAATAAATGATACTGGAGATCTGCAACCCGTTCTCGCAAATTTAATAAGTCAGTATTGACTTATTAAATATGTGCATAGGTGACATACTAAACATAATAGTTTCCCTTGAAAAGCTTCATAGAAAACACCGACCTTACCTAACCTACTTAGTATGTTAAAATAAGCATCTTATAGCTTCGTAATTACAATTGTTACTTAACCTATTATGCGACTGCACCCTGCGTGACGGGAGATGTCTCCCGTAAGGACCGATCACTTGACTATGTAGATAAATCTACATAGTGCAATATGTAGATAAATCTACATATTGCACAAGGTTACAAACTACTGACCACTGGTGCGGACGCTGGTTGGAAGGGGTGTGCCACCCTCCCCCCCCCCTCTACTCTCAACACAGCATACTGTAACCACCATTAACTTTACCGCCACACAATCATATTTCTCTTGCTGCGTTAAGAAGCAAATTAAGAAAGACGGCAGCGACCCGAGTGACTGTGATGGGAGGTGCTCAACGGTGCCACGGGGCTGAGAGAGTAGCGGTTAAGTGGCACTTAGAGGTTTAGCGAGAGTGCCAATGGATAACACTCCACGGCACAGGGAAGTGCCAGTGGATCAGGGGGCACCACAGCACAGGGAAGTGCCAGTGGATCAGGGGGCACCACAGCACAGGGAATTGCCAGTGGATTAGGGGGGACCACAGCACAGGGAAGTGCCAGTGGATCAGGGGGCACCACAGCACAGGGAAGTGCCAGTGGATCAGGGGGGACCACAGCACAGGGAAGTGCCAGTGGATCAGGGGGCACCACAGCACAGGAAAGTGCCAGTGGATCAGGGGGCACCACAGCACAGGGAAGTGCCAGTGGATCAGGGGGCACCACAGCACAGGGAAGTGCCAGTGGATCAGGGGGCACCACAGCACAGGGAAGTGCCAGTGGATCAGGGGGCACCACAGCACAGGGAAGTGCCAGTGGATCAGGGGGCACCACAGCACAGGAAATTGCCAGTGGATCACGGGGCACCAGAGGAGACAAAGAGCCACAGAGTGAGTGCCACAGCCAGTGCCACAGGGAACTATAGCCAGTCTACCGAACAAGTACCAGGATTGATCACACATTATCAGTGCCACATGATAATTAGTTTTCAGCCTTTTTGTCAAACGCGACGAGCATTTTGCGCTTTAGTGAAACACAGCGCCATTACCGCTTCAATGGCCGGGGGGGGGGGGGGGGGGGGGGAGGGGGGAGGGGGGGAGGGGGGACAAAACAAACATTATACGCCAAAAAAAAAATGAGAAAGAAAGAGCAGGAAGCGCAACAAGAAAATGTTTTTGTTGCCTGTGCTTTTGTTGGGGTGCTAATTGATGTTTTTGATGGCTTTCTGCACATACCTTTTGTTGGTGACGGAACAGCTGCATCCACAGGTATGTTGGTGGAACAGGTGTGTCCACAGGTGTTGCTGAAGAATTGAAATTCCTGTTTCAATTCTTCCTCCGTGGTCTGATACTATCATATTACATATATATATATATATATATATATATATATATATATATATATATATATATATATATATATATATATATATATATATATATATATATATAGCTGAAAACTCACACCCCAGAAGTGACTCGAACCCATACTGGCAGGAGCAACGCAACTGGTATGTACAGGACGCCTTAATCATACATACCAGTTGCGTTGCTCCTGGCAGTATGGGTTCGAGTCACTTCTGGGGAGTGAGTTTTCAGTTGCATATAGTCCTGGGGACCATTCAGGCTTGTTTGCATATATATATATATATATATATATATATATATATATATATATATATATATATATATATATATATATATATATATATATATATATATATATATATATATATATATATATATAGCAAATACAAAACGTAGCCACGACGTCATTTTTACGTCGTTACAACGCTCTAACAACTTGGAACAAAGCGGTCAAGAAGTGTCTGTGAGGATGGGAGTTGATCGCTTAATGCTTTTTTAGTGTTAAGAATGATGACTGTTGGAGGTGGTGAGCCGCCTCTACGATAGCCCCTCTCTACGATCATGCTATCGTAACTCTCCACTCACCTCTCAAGCTATCGTAACTCTCCACTCACCTCTCAAGCTATCGTAACTCTCCACTCACCTCTCAAGCTATCGTAACTCTCCACTCACCTCTCAAGCTATCGTAACTCTCCACTCACCTTTCAAGCTATCGTAACTCTCCACTCACCTCTCAAGCTATCGTAACTCTCCACTCACCTCTCAAGCTATCGTAACTCTCCATTCACCTCTCAAGCTATCGTAACTCTCCACTCACCTCTCAAGCTATCGTAACTCTCCATTCACCTCTCAAGCTATCGTAACTCTCCACTCACCTCTCAAGCTATCGTAACTCTCCACTCACCTCTCAAGCTATCGTATATATTCGCTCAACAATCAGTCTATCGTCCAGACATCTCCCGTCACGCAGGGTGCAGTTGCACCTCCACAGATCTCCAGTATCAGCTCTTGATACTGGTAATGGCTCAAAAGGGCCACCACTTACGGGCTATTCATGCCCGTGCCACCTTTTGGATGGTTTAATCGTCATCTTGGACACATTCATGGGAGACATCTCCCGTCACGCAGAGTGCACTTGCACTTCCACAGATCTCCAGTATCAGCTCTTGATACTGGTGATGGCTCGAAAGGGCCACCACTTACGAGCTATTCATGCCCGTGCCACCTTTTGGATGGTTTAATCGTCATCTTGGACACATTCATGGGAGACATCTCCCGTCACGCAGAGTGCACTTGCACCTCCACAGATCTCCAGTATCAGCTCTTGATACTGGTAATGGCTCAAAAGGGCCACCACTTACGGGCTATTCATGCCCGTGCCACCTTTTGGGTGGCTTAATCTTCATCAATCAATCAAGTCTATCGTAATTTATCGTTTAGCGCATGTTTCCCAGAGGCCATCGCTCTGTTGTAGTAGATAGGAGGTTATCGTGAGATGATTTCGGGGCTTAGTGTCCCCCCGGCCCGGTCCTCGACTAGGCCTCCACCCCCAGGAAGCAGCCCGTAGCAGCTGTCTAACTCCCAGGTACCTATTAACTACTAGGTAACAGGGGCATCAGGGGTGAAAGAAACATTTTGCCCATTTGTCTCCGCCTCCACCGGGGATCGAACTTGGAACCTCAGGACTACGAATCCGAAGCCATTTTTACAGAAGCCATAGACCAGTTGGCATGAGGTACCTGGAGCTTTGCAATTACTTTATTCATTCTCGTATTCTTGAAGATATCCTCACAGTATACCCAAAATTTGCCAGTGCAGGTTACTAAACACATGGCCCTGTATGACTAACCATCCTGCGAGATGGGGACTTGTATTACCACTGCTACCTTATTCAATCTTGTGTTGATGATATCCTCAAAATGCTTCTGCAGTCTGCCAGTGCAGACTGCCCATCACATGCCTCTGTATGACTAACCATCCTGTGTGATGGGGAATTTTTAGCATCACCTAGTTAGCTTTTTAGACACACTGTACTCCACTTCATATAGTCTAGGGTAGCTGCACTAATGCAGATGTACCTCATATCTTAATACAAAAAAATAATAATATTTTTTTTTATTTTATTTCTATAGGTTTTATAGAAATAATATTTGCACAAAGACTGTCAGTGTCAGGTTAAACAACTGCCTGACCTCCACACAAGCTGAACTAGCAGCATTACACTTAGCTACCAGTACATTAAAAAGCATTGGAGGAGGAATAATATTTTGTGATTCAAAGTCTGCTCTTCAAGCAATCCAAAACTTCTGGAAGATCGACAGCAAGAACCTCATACTACCAATTGTAAATGACCTAATTGCTGCACAGAGTAAAGGGTCTCGAATCTCTTTTGTATGGATACCTTCACACATAAATATAACCCATCATAATGAGACAGACATTGCAGCCAAATTAGCGTGCAACATAGGTGAAATTGACTTAGATCTAGGTATCTCCTTCTCTACTGTCAAATCTATATTAGTCCAAATACTCAGGTCTGATAGGAAAGAAATTACTGACTCCCAACGACCTGAAAGCACCAGTATAAAAAACTATGATTTGTTCAGATCTGAAACCTATATCTATGGGCAACACAAAACGTGGACCAGACTGTGCGACACAGTGGTTGCCAGGATAAGGTTGGGTTACCGTTACCTGCGGCAGGTGGCTACAGGTGATGGATCTCCCAATCCTGAGCACTCCAGGTGCAACAAACTCTGTGAGCAGGAACTGCGGCATGATCTCCCACACTACATCACCGAATGCCCAGTTATCAGACCATTCAGACCCGTTGGCATGAGGCACCTGGACCTTTGCAATTACTTTATTCACTCTCGTGTTTTTGAGGATATCCTTATATTGCATCCAGAGTCTGCCAGTGCAGACTGCTTATCACATGTCTCTGTATGACTAACCATCCTGTGTGATGGGGACTTTTAGCATCACGTAGCTAGCTTTTTGACACACTGTACTCCCCTTCATATAGTCTAGGACAGTTGTACAAATGTAGATGTACCTAAATATGTTAATAAAAAATGAAATTTATAAATATATATATATATATATATATATATATATATATATATATATATATATATATATATATATATATATATATATATATCCACCCATCCTCCTAAAAAGGTATTACTTACAGTAACTATTTGGTCGAGAGTATCAATATTTAGTGATGGAGAAAAACAGAGTTGACTTTTGTATTATTAAATTCGGGCAAACAGGAATTTTTGTTACCTGCATCAATAATATAAGACACATAGCCTCTCCTAGCAATCCTAGGCCTGATACATGCTATCCTAGGGGCTAATATTGCATATATATACATGCTCTACTAGGGCTAGGAATATTAAAGTTTAGTTTTAGCTTTTTGTCTAGACTATACAATTCAAAGTACAGAAAGTGGCGTACCGGCAGTTCATCACTACGTGTTGGCGTCTTACAGCAAATCCTTAAATACTCACAGTAAGGTCTATCATTTCAGGAGGCTGGGTTCATGTAGCTACACCCCGTGGGGCAATGTTTGTGTTGGTCTGGGTGGACCCTAGCGTCAGGACCCCGCCAGGACCCCGGCAGGACTCCGGCAGAACCCCGCCAGAACTCCGCCAGGGTTCCGTCAGGATCCCGGCAGAACTCCGTCAGGACCCCGGCAGGACCCGGCAGGACTCCGTCAGAACTTCACCAGGACTCCGTCAGGACCCCGTCAGGACCCCGGCAGAACTCCCCCAGGACCCCGTCAGGACCCCGCCAGGACCCCGTCAGGAGTATGGGGCACTCACCTCACGTCGAAGTCTAGTGACCTGGAGTTGTCTGGGCTTGAGCGAGGTCTCCGTCACCGCCGCCGCCATCACTGCTGCTTCTCCCTCCTGCAGGAGAACACTGGTAGTGAGTAGTCTGAGGCTGACAGCAGGAGGAGGAGGAGGGTGCAGGATAAGGAAACTGAAGAAAGAAGGAAGGAACAGGAAGGAGAACGAAAGACGTGGCCAGGCACCACACATACACATATAAACACACACGATAATGCTGGATGCTGGGAAGAGATGACGGGATAATGCATCAAATGAGACAGGGAAGCCTCCGTCGAGTCGTCGTGCGACACACCTCAAGTCTATCACAGAGAACCCATCCCCCGAGGGCCCCACATGAACCGGATATCATCGGCAGGATATGCAACGCTGGCCAACATAACACCAGCCTTCACAACTCTGAACAATGTAAGTTGTTCAGAGTTGCCCATCCCCCCCCCCCATGTCTCTGAACTCGTAACAACCAATATTTCGGGGTACCAGACCCATTGTTTCCCCTCACTCCTCGAACGCGCATACCACATGTGGGATGTGGTAGGTCCTCCTGCCCTCCCTCCCCTCACACATTCCGCAGCGTGAAGTGACATAAACACTTGCCACCTCACCCCTCACCCCTCTCCTCACTGCATCGTACACGCCAACCACAACAAAATCGTGGAACACCGGCCATGCCCACGACATAGCAGATCCCATGAATA